TAGTGAACGCAGCTGTAATTGGCCAAAAATAATTTAAAGTGAACACAGCCATACAGTGCTAGACCTCAGTAGTGGGTAAAAGCGATAACATAACCAACTGTCAGTGTGTCTCTCCAAATAAATTATAATTAAGTAATAAGTATCTTTAAATTCATTATTCACAGACCGTACATCAATAGTTCATCAACCTGGGAATGCGTTTATTAGTTTTAAATATTGATAAAATACTTTTTAGAGTACTGTACAATAATAACAATCTAACCTGAAACATTTTACATTAACTGGGTCAGACTGCATCTAAGATGGCTGCCATAAAATCAAAGCACACACTAATTTGAAATTGTCATTTCGTTAACAGTCATTTCGGCAATGTTCCCAGACATGATGACACGTTCTCGAAATGATGACTTTGTTTCCAAAGTGGATTCTCTTACAATTTTTCATTAACTTACTTTGTGTTGTGTGTATGTCATTTCCAATAAGTTAACATACTTATTGGTTTTTTCTTCATAGCAATATGGATACTCTCGATGCAGGAAAAAAAAACAAAAAAAGAACATTAAAGAAACATAACAAAGATACTGCGGCTTATTTGCGCCAAAGAGAAAAGGCTAATGCTAGAAAAAGAAAGTTTTTAGATAAGATCACCGATGAAGAGAGAGAAATTAAAAAGGCTAAGGACAGAGAATATTATAAAAAGAAAAAAGCAGTAAAGAAAGTGAAGAATATTGTTGATATGACCGAGCAAGAAAAGTGAAAGCAGAGAAAAGATTGGAAAAAAGCATAAAAAAAATACAGAAAAGAAAAAGGCATTAGCAAATATAATAAGTAATACGCCGCCACAATCAGATAAGTCAGCCACAATACCTTCAGTGAGAAGACAAGTAGGAAGAAAACAAGTTCGGAAAGATAGAGCAAAAGCATACCAAAAAAATAAAAAAAAATAAAAACAGGAAGAAACTATAGTTCAAATGAAACGAAAAATTGAGTCTTTAAAAAAAAAACTTCAAAGAAGAGACGCAAAAATGCAACTTGTACCTACACAAAGTTGATTCTTTAATTAAAGACATTCACGTACCTCCTGAAGTGCGCAAAAGCCTTTTGTTTAGTGAAGTATTGAATAAAGGCTTGACGCTTTGAAAAAGGCTGACGCTTTGCCAAAGAGAATTCCAAAGAGAGAGGTCTTCCAAAAATTTATCAGTGGAAGTACTTTGAAGAAATACAAATTGCTCCATATGGCTAAGATTTTACCAAAGCAAAGACACAATAAATTGATTCTAATGTCTGATGCCAAATTTTGCGAGATTGTTTTGAAACCAGAAGTTTGTCAAAAAGTGATAGATTTCTTTGAACAAGATGATGTCAGTCGAATGTGCCCAGCTAAGAGAGACTTTATTTTAAAAAATGGTATTAAGAAACAAAAGTGCATCCTCTCATTTAAAGTTAAAGCCCTGACATCAAAATTCGTAAAAGAAACTGGGCTTCACTTATCTTATACGACTCTACTCAGAGCAAAGCCATTTTGGGTTGTAGCTCCAAAATTGAAGGACCGAGAAAATTGCTTGTGTGTCAAGCATGAAAATTTTGAATTAAAATTTAATAAACTGAAAAATGCGCAAGACCTTAAACACGGATGTATAGAAAAGTTTATTGAGGATTACAATTGTGATATTACTTCTTATGACTGCATGAATAGTTTGTGTGAAAAATGCAAAAATCAGGAAGTTGAGTCAGAAGATAATACAGATTCTCTGACATATTTTCAATAAAAGTCCATTCATGAAGATAAAATTGTAAAAAATGTGAAAGACTTTTAAGATTACAAAAAAGGTTCCTATTTATAGTCAAGAAAACATACATCCAAATTTGATATCTCCTGGGACATTCTTGTTAATTAAAGTCCCTACTCAAAAGACAAATACCTATTATAGATATGTTGCTATCTGCCAGACATATGACGATGACAGGGAAATTTCAATAAATTTCTTGAGATCTGTGTGTAAAAGTACCTGAAAATTCAGACTGGAATTAAATGATGTCTTATATTAACTTTGAGCAAATAATTAGTATTATTCTGACACCATTAATAAAAAAAGAACAGAATTGACAATGTTAATTATTTCGTTACTAATATTGATGTTTTCGAAAAAATTGAAGAATTAGTTTTTGCTTTGTAACAAGCTTTTGTTTCAGATTTATTTTAGATTGTATTATATAACTTTTCTTGAACTAAGTAAAGGTAATTTTATGTTAAGTACAAATGTTATGGCTTTATAAATAAACAATTTGATTTCTGAAACTGTCGTTCATAATTAAAATATAACCTTACTACCCTATAATATCATTCTCATCATTCAGTAAATACTCTTATCATTCAGGGAATGCCTGATCATTTCCGAGAACGTTACTAAAATTGAATAAAACATTTACAATTTTAGTTATTGTCACAAAAAAATATTGTAGTTATATTAAAAAACATTACTTCTATGCATGTAATGTGAATTTAATTATAAAAGTTACTGATGTTTTTATATTTCTTAAATTGTATATATGAAAATAGCAACTAATCTTCATTTTTGATGTATGGTGGTGCCTTGTATAACGTACGCCTCGAATAATGGATGCTGCGAGCAACAGACTTTCTGTTTGGCCATTACATGACTCGAGCAACGGACTGGCTGCGAACAATGGACTTTCCGTTCGGCAGTTACGTGAGGCAAACAAGTGCGAATGATGTTATCACTCTTTTGCTGTTGCCAGTGACAATCTGCTATTTTTATAATATATTAGTATTATCAGAATATATTATTAGTATATCTGAAGTACAGATGTTGGGATTCGGCTTGCTCCCTTGTTTATTACGTACATCACCTCAGTGCAGGGTATTTACATTTATTCAAGTGTTGTGCAAATTATGGCTTCTAAAAAAACAGAAAGGTGATTTCAATTGAAACAAAGCAAAAAAATCATCAGAAGGAGTGAAAGTTGACAAAAACTTCCTTGTCAAATGGGGAGAGGTTCAGAAGTTTCCCAATACTCATTATCCAAATAGAGCTGAGGCCAACAGGATCAATGATCTCTACAATGACACCCTTGCCCATCATTTCTGACAGGTGTTGAAGAAGAGAGAGAAACAGATCACCTTGGATGTGTTTTTCAAGAAGCAAGCTGCCAAAAAACAAAGAATGGAACAAGAGGAGTTGACCCTGCAAGCCCCGGTAGACTCTCCTGAATCTGACTCCGATTAAAAAACAATAAAAAGAAACCTGCTGCAATGTGTAAAAAGTCTGTATCTGTATGAATGTGTGAAGAAAGTGTTCCTCCACCTCCTCCTCACAACATCTGACTACTCGGCATAATTGGTGACTGCTCCATTTTCATTTTTTTAATGGTACAGTATGGTTATTTTATGCTGCGGAATGAATTATATGTTTTAACATGTATTTCTATGGAAAAATGTGTTTCGTATAACGGACTTTTCACTTAATGGACGTGCAATTGGAACAGATTAAGTACGTTATACGAGGCACCACTGTATTTTGCTTTAAAAAGATTTTGTGCATATTATTATTATCATTTTTTTAAATAATATTGATGAATATATACCTATGCCATTTAATAAAGCAAAAAAAAACTTTTGTATTTTTTGGACATTTCATTAACTTTACAAAAATGTTCCCAAAATGACCATTTTTAGTGAAGGCTCTGTTGCAAAGCAATATTATAAAAAAAAGTAACGGATTCTATGCGATGCCCTATCAAGTATTGTTTAAACAGAAATTTAGTGACAATATAAAGTAATTGTCATCATTAACGCTTGTAATATTTTTTGTCATAAAACTAATCTGGAAATTTGTGACCTTGGCGATTTTGAGCCATGTACTGAAAAGTTTTTCTGAGGTAAATTTGTTATATCTATAATTTTTTGATTCTCACCATATATTTTAGTATAATGTTTTATACAGAAATTTTAGATAAAAATATTCAGATACCCATGGTATCTTTCTTATAAAAGGAATCATAGTGTGACGTTTTAAAAAGAGAAAAGGTCAGAGTTACACTTTAAATTTGCAAGTCTAACTTTTTGTTTACCAACTTCACCACGCTGAACAGATGAAGAAAATGACCTTTCAAGACTTTCACTGTTAATAGTACTTATTCAGTACAGTGATATTTCATACTTTGAATGCTAAATTTGACAAATGTTTACTTTGGAATTCAAACAATGTTTCAAAGTTTGAAATGCATGTGCAGAAAAAGAATGCATTTGAAAATTAAATGCATTCTTTTCCTGCATTTCAAATTTTGACTTAAATTTAATATAGTATTTTATATGTAAATGATATTCGGCATTTCAATAAAAATTAAAAAGAAAAAATATATTTTTGTCTGTTATTCATTGATTTTTAATAATTTCTTCCTGCAAGTTTTCTTTGTCAATAGCTTTTGGGCACCTTTACATTTTGTATTCTTTAGTTCAAAATTTTCTGAATGGAGCTTTTTAAACCTCATCTATATATATAACCCATTCAAAGTGTCCGTCTGTCCCGTAACCGTTTGATAACGGACACTAGAGGCGCCCCTATCGTGTGTCATATTTCAAACATTCAAATTAACAATTTTAATTCTTATTTAAATTAACAATATGAATTATTATTATTCATTTGGCCCATAAATTATTATTTGGTCAATATAACAATATAAATAATTCAGTATATTTGTAATAGGAATTTATTATTTCAGGGGCTTATATCTCGCGAAGGATCGCGAGTAGGGGTATGGTTCCTTTGACTTTATTGTTCGCACAGGGGCTACAGTTTGGGGGGGTCGCCACCTCTTCATTCGGAGGGTAAATCTTACCATTGGAACTTTAACAGAGCTGTACAGCATATTGATAGGAACAAAAAAGTCAAAGGAACCGTGCCTCATGGAAATTTGTAAAGAACGCCCACTAGGGGGCGTCCCGGGCTACTAGTTGAAAATAGTTCGTTTGACTGGATGTAAAAATTCTTTAATTAGTCTGGAAACGGGGGACTTAATTCTTGCATTCTGTGAAAACGGGTAAGATTGGCTATAATGTAATTATCTTAATCTTCACTATCGTTACTTTTTGCCCACAAATAAAAACCCAGCGAAGCGGGTCCTTGCAGCTAGTTTGATATGTTTGAACTTTAGGAGCATCTACTCATATACATTATGAATTTTTCTTACTTTTTGTATTATGATGATCCTTTCTGAAAATACATAATATACCTGATTATGTTTTTTATCTGAAGATGTATCAACTTGATTTTATTCAAACAAAATATGAAGTAAAAAGTTTAAAAAAACTTCTAAACAAAGAATGTTTTAATCCAAATGTCTTCCAACCATAACACTGTCCGCAAAAAACATTCATCAGTGTTGTGTTTGTTACAAAATGCACTAACGTTTTCGACCTCCACCGAGGTCGTCTTCAGGTGCTGACTAAGCGCTGTGTCCCCTTGACGAATGGGGACAAGTGGAGGGGTGAAACGTGATACACGCAATATTTACATCTTGGACGACATTGTTCTAACAGTCAAGGGGAGACAGCGCTTAGTCAGCACCTGAAGAAGACCTCGGTGGAGGTCAAAAATGTTAGTGCATTTTGTAACGAGCACAACACTGATAAAGGTTTTTTGTGGACAGTTAATATTTTAATCTCACATTAGCAATGTGTTAAATTTTGTAACTATTGTAATTCAATCATATATCTATGTTAAGTAAGGACAACTGTTAAAAATACTCAAACTTTCTGTTCAACCCAATATAACCTTTACCTATTAACCGTGTCATCTAAGAAATGTTTGGAAGCAATGACGCCTAAGAGAAAAATAGTATCAACAATCCAGATGAAAAAGGAACTTTGCAAAGCAGGAAAATAACACGTGTGGCAGAACTAGCAGCCATATTTAAGATGAAGTTGATAGTATGTCTCCAGTAAATGAAATTTTCATTTTATTATGCAGTATTTACATATTTTATTTATTTTCATGTTTTAATTTATTATTAGGGCATTTAATTGTTATTTTTACCTTAAATTATGTGTGTTTGTTTTACACAATGATATGAGCAATCTCAGCACCACTAACTTCTGAATTTGTAGTCCTGTTACCAATTGGTTGGGCTGTTGACTTTCTTTAACATAGGAAGTAAAGGAAGTTCACTATCTATGTCTCTCTAATCTGTGGTTAGCTCTTGCCAAGTAGCTTGTTTAGCAACCATTGCAATTATGAGTTTGAAATTCTGTTTGTTAACCAACTTGTTTGAAAAGCGAGTCATTCGAAAACTGAGATTTGACTGTACCCAAAAGTTATATAATTCTTTTTCAAAAGTTTAGAAACTTTATCATTAAAAGTATAGTATTTACAAATGAAATACTATTTATACATACAGAAATCTAACATTCTATTTATTTCCTTGATTAAACAAATAAGTTACAAAATGTGTTAAAAATTTTAATTCAAAACATTTATTTTGAGGATATAATTTGGCAATAATAATCATAAGTATTTATTAAAAATTGAATTATGACTGTTTACAAAAAATTATAAAATTTTTCGAATCTATCTTTCATCCTTTTAACACACCACAGAAGAACAGTATATTGGCTTGGATAAACTTTCATGTTATCATGTATGCTGTTATAAGTATTTATTAGTAAGTTATAATTATTATTGTCAAATTATAGCTCAAGGATATATAGCAGCTGGAGGGTTAATTAATCCAAGATGCCCTTGATACATTGGCAATGTCAGCCAATCTCTGAGTGAAGAAAATATGCAGTTTAAAATATATGATTAAAATCAGTATTTAACATATTGGATTTTAAGGAGCTTATATGAAAACTTTATATATTTATAGTGTTAAGCTTCATCATCATGATGATTCACAACAATCGTTTAAAATTTAGTAAATCAATTTGTTTAAAAGTTTTTATTCCTGAATTAAAATAACTACATGCATTTAAAATTTGTTTTAATATTAAAATATTTATTTTTATTTCATTAAAATATTTTTTAAATATATAATTTAAAAAAAATTGATTTAAAATAGCAATTAGCTCTATAATTACTATAAACAAACTTGCAGTTAATATTGAATCTAATAAAATTGTTAATAATTTATTTATGATTTTTATTATAAAAGTAGCTTTTCTAATTTTTTTAATTTTTAATGAATTTTTTTAAAATGTGAATTTTATAGGTTTTTATAACATATACTATAAGGGGTCATCCATAAATTACTTAAGGGTGATTTCAGCCATTCTAGACCTCACCCATCCACCCCTGTGTAAGAAACTAATCTTTTCTTTGATCCACCCTCCCTTTCCCTATCTTATGTAATATTTAGGAAAGATTTTAACAAGAAACATTTTTTTATGAAACCTTAAAAATCTTAGGTCCAAAATACATAAATATTAATTAGTTAATTAAAATGTACTAATATTTATAAAACACTTTGTGAACAAATTTTAAAATATAAAAATTTAATGAATTCAAATAAACAATTTATTTTAAGAACTTTATTTTTTTAATTATTAACAATCTTTTCATTATTATTATCATTAATCAACATCATAATATTCATTTTTCTATTAATTTTAATTTTCACAAAAGGATGCAAAAAACTTTGACAGATCGACTAGCTAGTACATGTGTAAACAGAAACGTCATACAAAACGAACCAAGATAAAAGAGAGAGGAATCACAACATAGCCTTTCTTCCATGATAAAAAAAATATGTAGAGCGTGAGTCTGCGAGCATTATTATTCTATCACATCACACGAGATGGCATTGGTACAATGAGCGTTCTTAATTGAAACCAACAAATTGAAGCCAAATTCAAAATTCCACCACTCAATGAGATCAAAAAATAAGAATATTACGTAAGAAGATATCTATTACTCCAATACCCGAGTAAGAAATCCTTGAACCCCACCCACTCCAAAATACCTTACGTACTTTATGGATGGCCCTTAAATAATAAATATTTAGATTTACTCGTATAGTAGTTAAAAATTTAAATACCATATTATTAATTTTTATTAATACTAGAAGTTTGAATCTTTGTATTAATAAATAGAATCATTAGAAAAGTTGCTATATTTTTCATAATGCTTCAATTCATCAACATTTTTAGTTAACTAAATTATAAAATTAAAATTGCTTGAAATAAGATGTTTTAACTTTTTATTTTCTTCAACTTTTCTTATTTAACAAAATATCTTTTTCTGTGGAAAAAAACTCTTTGGAAGCTTTACTCTGTTTTCAAAAATTCTGATTTTGAACACTAGACGATTGAATAAAAAATATCACTAATTTCTTTCAGGGTATCTAAAGATAATTAAACAAGATGGATATAAGTAGTGCCTTGAAGTCTTTAACAGTAGCAGTCAATCAACATAATATTAATGCAACGGAACAAAATTTAATTCAATTACAGAGAAGTCTTGATATTTTAATTGGCTTAACAACAAAAATTACAGATTTTGATCAATTGGATCCAGCAAGTTTAGTTTTAACAGAATCAATTTCAAGTTTATCAAATATTTTTCTCAATGCTAAATCAAAATTAGGATTAATTCAGAGAGTTTTGACATTATTACAAAACTTAATTCAAAGCCAAAAAATGAAAGAATTTTTATGTTCAAAATTTAATATTTATTCAATTATTACAGTTCTTCTTCAGAATAATGATCATATTGAAACTGTTCTCAATCCTTGTCTTTTGCTATTAAGTAATATAACATATAATTTAAAAATTGATCAAATTGATAATCTTATGGAACAGTTAATATATTTATTAATTAATCACATAGAAAATGAAAAACCAGATATTGAAATGTTATGCTTTCGCATACTTAGTAACTTGTGTCGGAAAAATTCTTCAGTTCAGTCATTTATAAAAAATATCCCAACTTCAAAACAATTGTATAAAATACTTATAGATAAACTTAATCATCCTTGCAGATATGTCATGATAAACTCATTATATATACTTGCAAATTTAATTTTAGATAATGAAATTGGTGAAAAATTATTCAGCACCAAAAATATAAATAAAACATTTCAGTTGATATTTAATCTTGCTGTTTCTGAAGACCTTCAAGCAAAACAAACTGCAATTGATCTTCTTATGGATTTATTAGAATCTCCAAATATGCTTAAGAAATTCATAAATTATAAATATTTAGTACCTTCATTAGAGAAGATAATTCATAGTTGGTTAAAAAATGAGACTGCCAATAATACAATCTTAATTTTAAAATTATTGTTAGGATTTATATCAGTTCCAAATCTAAAAACACAAATATCTTTGTTATTATTTCCAGTAAATGAAGAGTATAATTCAGATGTTATATTAAAATTAATTTCATGGATTGATAATTCTGAAGAGTTAGAAGTTTCAATACTATCAATAAGACTCTTAATAGAAGTTATAAAAGAACAGGTTACAAATGGAAAAACTTTTGCAATAGAGTTAATTAAAATAAAATTTGATTATATAATAAATCAGATTGAACAAATACCAGTAAGCAAGAAGGAATTTGAGAAGCAAACTTTTTTGTTAGAGATGTTGATTGAAATATGTAAAATGTCTCAATACAAAAAATGCATTGCAACTTTATTAAACATCAATAATGTTGAAGGGGTAATTATGAACCAGTTAGAAACAAATTGTCTTTGTTTGGGAGAAGACCCTGATGATTATTCACAAGAGGGAGTTGCCATGATTTTAAATATTTTTACATTTCTGATAGATTTAAATGATGAAATTAATATAATGGAACGCTTAGATAGAATTATAAAACATAATAATATTACATCACTTGTTTCTTTTGTAATTGGTTCAGAAGATTCAAAAAAAATTTATCAAGTAATGAAGTTAGCTTTAACATCAGAAATTCTTTGTGAATTGATTTCAAAAACTATTGCAATTAATAATAATTCAAATTGTTTATCAATTGAAAAAGAAGAAACTTTATGTAGAAGTAATTATGAATTAGAAAAAAATATAAAAAATAGTCTATTAGAAGAAAAGCATCTAGATAACGTTGATGAGATTATTAAAAAAATACAGAATGGATTGACTTTTGAAGAGATAAAATCATCAGAAATTATAGATATATATGATTATAAGATTGATGTTCTCATGACAAAAAATCAACAACTTCAAGAACTAATTGATATCAAATCAGCAGCATTACAACAAACTGACCATCTTTTAAATCAATTCAGAAGCCAGCAAATTCAGCATGAAACAGAAATGTTAAAAATGAGAAATCTCTTAAAACAGTTGAAATTTCAAAATGAAAAATTAGAGAATGAGTTTAAATTATCTGATCAGGTTCAAAAAGAACTTAAAACAAATCTGAATATAGCAGAACAAACTATTAAAAAACAAAAGAAGAAATTAGAAGAACAACATGAAACTATAAGTGAATTATCACAAACAATTAATAACAAGCAGCAATCTTTAGAAAATATTCAGACTGAATATAATAATGTTTTGGAAATGAATACCATTTTACAGAGACATTCTGAAACTATGAAACAGAAACAAGACACATTAAATGAACAGATATCAGATTTGAATTTGGAGAAAAAAAATCTATTTAAGCAATTGAAAGAGAAAGAGAATACTCTGAAGGAATTAAATGAAACAATCCAGAAATTAGAAGAAAGTCTACAAGAAAAAGAGAAAAGCTGTGAAATATTACTTACAGAAAATAATTCTAAAACACAGCTTATTGAAAAGCTTCAATCAAACAAATGTAAACTAGAAGAGAAATTAAATTGTTTAGAACTTCTTTGTCAACAACAAGAAGCGACCATAAAAGATTATAATGTACAGATTCGTAATTTAACAGAACAATTAGACAGACACAAACAAATTACTGAAATGATTCATAATTTAAGTTCAGTGCCAGTTTCAACATCATCAGTATCATAAATTATACATATAATTTTTTATGTTATAAATGTTTGGTTTTGATAAATATAGTAGAAACTGACTAAAAATTAGTTTCTCTACTATTAAAACTTAAATATATAAAAATTTGTTTAAAAATAGTTTTGAATTTTAGAATGTATAATAATAAATAATAATTTGTTTTATAAAATATTTTACTATTATATAAAGTTATTGTTTATGTAATTTATTAAAATTTAAAATTAAATCATGAAATTGACTAACTATTACAAGAGAATTTTTGTCTTTAGATTATATAGGATTTAAAAAATTATATCATATATGACATCCTTTTAATTAAAAACCTGAATTATTGAACATATTTGCAAATTAGAAGAATATCCATGAAGGCGTAGATGCAACTGAAGCTCAAAATAACACTATATTGAAATTTTTGGAATATAATTCTTAAAAAATTATCAAATTATAGAATCAATGATAAAGATTATATATTGATACTTCTTTAAGCAGATGATTGTCAGAAAGTCAGCATCAACATTATAATGTACAATATCAAGATGTTGAAATGGGGGTCAATGACTGAATTAAACTAAATTCAGTCATTGATATATTAGATGTTCATTTGCCAAATCAATTAACTCCACAAAACAAAAGTAGAGAAAATGATAAAATAATATATGTTCTTTTTTAAATTTAAAAAATTTTGTAAAAAACATTGTAGAATGTATTATTACAGGCATAGCTTTTATCTAACAACAGATAAAATAACAATTATTCCAAGGCTATAATATTTTTACTCTTTTCACTTAACTAAGGGAGTTAATCGATTTGACCTGGAAATCGTTCACATAATCATTGGTCATTAGTATGTAGTAATATCAACAATAAATGAATATTGTAGTCTGTTAGTAGATATGAATCAGCCTGAGTTAGAAGGGTCTGTAAGAAGAAAGGGATGGTAAGAGACATGATTAACTCACTCTTAATTCTAATGATACTATGTGAGTAGCATAATGCTTAATTCTAATGCTACTATGTGAGTAATAAAATTTGTAAGGAAGTAAAACAATAAAATTATTTATGATAAAAACATTTTAGAAATGTATTTGGTTGAACTGAAAGTTAATTCGGATTTTAGAAAGAAATAAAATATACTATTTTGAAATAAATAAAAATCTTTAATCCACACTCACTCACCCTTCTGTTTGATAACCTTATGCCACCTGACAGGTAGTTTCATAATTCCATTGTGTAGAATTGGGTGGGTTTCTGATTGAAGAAATTATTGATGTGATTTTTGATACCTTTTACATTTATGCCATTTAAATTATTCTGCAACGAACAAAAAAGATAATAGTCTGAGGGAGCAATATCTGGAGAATATGCAGGGTGACTCAAAACAGCCCAGTTTTTGGTGCACGTTTAACAATATGTGCTGTCTTGCATTATCATGATGGAATACCACACCCCACCAATTTGCAAGTTCCAGACATTTTTGATGCACTGCAGCTTTTAGTTCATCCAGTTGGAGACAATATTTATTGGAATTAATTGTTTGGTTGTTGGGTAAAAGCTCGTAATAAAGAATTCCTTTCCAGTCCCATCAAACTGAAATCATTACTTTTCTGGGATACAAACCAGCTTTATGTTGTGGCACTGGAAGATCACCTGGCTTACTCCAAGATCTTTTGTGTTGAATATTGTTGTAAACGATCCATTTTTTATTGCCCATTATTAATTGCTTTAAAAATGTATCATCATTGCATTTTAAAAGTGAATCACAAACAGAAACACACTCAATAAGATTTTGTTCACTTAACTGATGGAGAACCCAAACTTCATAATGGAAAGTGTATCCAAGGCTATCCAAACATCTGATAACAGATGTTTGGGATATTCTTAAGATGTCGGCTATCTCCCATTTTGTTTTATGCCAATCATTTTGAATTAAAGTTGTTATGGACTCATTTTCTATGGTTGAAAGCTGTCCTGACCTAGGTGCATCTTCGAGAGAAAAATCTCCTGCCCTGAATTTTGAAAACCATTTCTGGCATGTTCGATCAGTAACTGCATCCTCCCCATATACAGCACATAGGTTTTTTTTTTTTTTTTATCTTTTTCAGAAATAATAGAGCATGATATGTCAAAAATTTGCCTTCTTATCTTCCATTTTAATATTATTTTTCTTAAAAGATAACATAATTTCAAAAAATAGCTGTAATTAAACTTATGTATAAAAATGCAAATATTCGTAATGTCCACTTAAACAAGTTAAAACTTCATAAGCACAATAGTGGTGACACAAACGAGCGATTATGTAAATACCCGAATGAACTTTCGTTTCAACCCAATAAAAAACAAAACAGCTGAAAGAGATCATAACTGTCTCAACTTAGGGGATAGTCACGTGTTTTCTTCCATTCCTTTCAACTGACATAGACCCTTCCAGCTCAGGCTTATTGGTGCCTACTCTTTCACTGAAAGAACTAGTTTGTTTTAGTATTTTGATCTCTTACTATGCTCTACATCATTTCAATTTTATGTATTTTCATGTAGTTTCATTATCATGTCTAGAATAAATAACATATCAACTCTTTCAAAAACAGGTTCCAGAAAAATTTTCTTCCATCAGATGACACTGTCAACACTAAACTAAAAAGGCAACTTTTTGATTGTAAACTGTATTTGAGTAGTAAAATACTGTTTTATTTTAATTCATTATTATGAAAAATTCTGAATATTTAGCCTATGGCAGTGATTCTCAACCACTGTGCCACCACATTTTTGAAGTGTACCACCACTGTAAATATCCATACATAAGCAATGTCAGACAAGTAGTTTAATCGGTTCTACCTTCCTAGGGCACATTTAGAAATTGAAACCGGTGTTACTGGTAATTGCCAGTAGTTACTAAAATGTTTAGAAAATGTGACCTAAATAACCAACTACATTTAAAAATCACTGTTATGACATCACCAGTTGTCCTGTGATACTTACCAAAGTAATGGTGTGTTCCACCAAATTTTTTAATTATTAAAAGTGTACCATGACGAAAAAAGGTTGAGAATCACTGGCCTATGGTATGTGAAATACAATAGTTTATATCATTAGTTAGACCAGCTTTATAAGAGATGATATAAGTATCACTTTTAATCATTCATTTTCATTCACGTTATACAATATAAACATTACTTTCCTAGAGAAGAAACAATACTGACAATATCATGATCAGACAACTGCACTTTCATTTCTCAATGGTAAAGGATTTATAACCAGGTCTGTAAATGTTCTTTGTTTCATTTGTAAATTTTCTGATGACTTGAGTTTGAAAAGGAAATAAAAATGTTTGCTAAATGAATCTAAGTTCTATACTTTTTAAGTACTCCAAAAGTTTTATTCATTAAAACCAAAACCAGGCTTATATGCATTTAATGAATTAATTATTAATCCTATTTTCACTAAGCAAGACTAAGATTTTATTTATTTGCATGTGTTCCTAGAAACATGGGTTTTTCATTCTCGTAGTAATTCTTTCTAACATCATATTTCATTTCTTTAACTGTTTTGTTTTGAAGACTTTAAGCATTCATTTATTGCTAATTGCTGTTTATGAGGCAGACAATTATTATAATTTGAAATCAAATTAAATTTTATTGATAATATTTTTCAAAATTTCATTTTTATGTATGTATTTTCTGTTTCAGCATTTTTCCAGTTTTAACTGAAACTTTATATTTTATACTAGCTTACCCGTCGCGCATTGCTGCGATCTCAGAAGAAACGAAATTCAAGCAAACTCGTTATGATAAAATTAAATTTACATTTTATCATTTTTATTGAAAGTTATTATTTTATTATTATTATTCATTTTCATCGGGAAAACATTTCAAAGTGTCGTTTCAATTCTATTTATTTATTGGAGTGCTTGTGGATACATGATATTTTTTGTTTTTCCGTCTGGTGCGTACACGAATAAATCTGGTTTTCCGACGCGTGAGCTGTACTTTGTTAAAACCTTAATGTGAGAAGCACGGATTCTTTAAATTTAGCCCACATACTCGCAGAGATTCCCCATTTATATATATATATATTTTTAATCCTTTATAGTTTTGATTATTTAATTGCTCCTTCCTCTCTTCCTTGGCATGTTGTGAAATTTCTGATAGTTGGACAATAAACCGTTTTATTGTAATTTGTCTTTTTAAATTATTTTGAGTCGATATTAAAATTTGGAAAAGGGGGTCCCTAGATCGGTAAAATAGGCGAATTTCCTTCTACAACTTCGGTTGTTGTTCGGGATGCAGTTAAGGTTTTAACAAAGTTCGAGCGAATACATAATTAGCAAAAAAAAAGTTGAAGTAAAGTGATTAAACAAAAATTATTACAAATATCGTAAATAACAAATGCATATACTGTATAGAGATATTTTTTGGAGGGGGAAATGGTCTTCACAATTTGAAATTGATCGAACACAGTAAAATGCTCGTATACACGCGCGCCATCTATCGTAGGATAAATGTACTATGCTAGAAACCTTCGCGGGAGTATATTAAACAACTTCACAAAGTTTCATGGCAATCGGATAAATGGTGTGGTAATGCATGAAGGACACACACACACACACACATTCATTTTTATATATATAGATTAAGAATTCTCAAATGAAAAACATTACATGGCAGAATTTACNCAGGATACTGGACAGGACAGGAGACATATGGTGTTATATCACCATACGTCTCCATATCTACCTGTATCTCCTCATATATTCACGCTAGACACCCAACAGGTTACTAGAATTTCCTTTCATTTGTACTGTAATTATTCCTGCAATAAATGATCCTTTTGCTTTCATTTTATGATCACTTACTTATATTACCGTTAGTTACACTCACACATGTACAATTTTATCTGATTATGAGAACTTGGTGCATTAATTTTTTGGCAATGAGTGTATTTCGGAATAGTTTTCTTGCCCAAAGTGGGGATATTAAATTAAATACTTTAGTATCTGAATAAGACTGAACGATAATGAGTTATTATTTTTGCTGTAAGAAGACCAATTTGACCAATTACT